CATAGGCGGCTAAAAGGACAAACCGATGTGTATTGGAAGAAGTAAGGCCAGAGTGTTCCTTAAAGGCATGGATGACAAGACATTTGACATACTTTGGGCAAACCGTAAAGAGAGACCAGTCTCTGGAGAAGGGCATTATGTTGGGTAAAGTAGAGGGGAGCAAAAAAGAGGAAGATGTTCAGCGACACGGTGGCTGCCTCGATGGGTTCAGATATAGAAACAACTGTGAGGATGGCCAGGACAGTGCAGTGTTTGGTTCTGTTCTGCATAGGGTTGCTGTGAGTCAGAGCCCACTCAATGGCACCTGACAACAACAATAACAACTACGATTATTATTACCTGTTGACTGCAAACCATTAGATTTTCTTTGTTTAAAGTTTTGCTTCTAAAGAAAGTTTCCTGTGTTCATTTTCCCTTTATTTCTGTTTTCTCATGATTAGCTGATTCCTTTCTTCCCTCCTTAATCCATGATAAAATTATGAATTTGACAAAGGGAGAGTTAAGCCCCCTTCCAGAACTGGAAGCCTCCCCAGTAATTTTCATCTAGCACCTAAAAGGCCCCATTTCGGAGAACTTGGTCAGAGCCAGCTCTCGTCATAGCCCCTCCAGAGGCATAGCAGATGCTGACATAGGTGGATGAGGTAAGGCAGCTCAAATCAGAGGAGAAACCAAAGCTGGAATTCCTGAGATCTTGATTCTTAACCAACTTGTTGATTGCCTTTGACTAAGTTTGTCTACTTTCTTTTTATTCCTCAAATTCACCATCTGTAGGCTGTTGTAAGAGTCAAATTATAATGTAAATGCAGGCACCTTGGGAAAACACTATGCAGATGGTAATTATTGTGAACACATACTTTTCAAAACTTAACTTGAGCTTCTTCCTCTATTAAGTTGTTGCTGGTAGAACCCCACTCTTCATTGCCAAGTTGGCCACATTCTTCTTTGGGCCCTCACCGTTCTTACCTCCATAAGAGCATCGGTTTGCATTTCTGCACCCACACGTTAGACATTTTTTTGACTGTCTTAAGTTTACAAAATGTCAGCGTTTTCTACAGGCTCATGGAACAAACAGAACTAAACACGAGTCACATGTGTGGCTGATCCCAGTGACTGTCCTGTGTCACGTTCTACCACGTTTCCAGCAACCTCAAATGATCCTTTCCTGTGGCCCACTTGCTCTGACACGCGACAGCACCGAGAGGAGAGGTGATAGTTGCAGGACGGGGTCTCATCTCCCCTGGGATCTTCCTGAAGGAAGCTCTACTGGGTTCTGAATACTTGTATGCCTAATTTAGGGTCTGAAGCACAGCAGAGGCATAGCAACAGCTGAATACAGACTTCAAAGGAAAGTCCTCATAGGAAATTCAAGAAGACCTCAAGCCTTCAAAGCTAAGTGCCTCTCTAGTGTTGACGGCTCGGGTGCCAGTGCAGACTGGGAGAGCGCTCAGTAGGCTCCCCTGGCTTGGCACAGGTTGCGTTCTTTAGTGAGCTGGCCGCTCATTTTGTTCAGTGCTCAGAAGTGCTTTTCTCTCCCGTCAGGTGTTTGCTCACTGTACTCATTGAATCGTACATAGCCAGCAATTTGGAAAATCGCTTCTAGCCATGATTTGTCTGCGGCAGCAAGTCTTCTTTTAAGAGCACAATAAAAAGAAAGAAAAGAAAACAAAAGTTATTTTGTTTTCAAAGTTCTTTCTGTGTTTAATTCTAATGGGCTTTGGCGGGCGATGACTTTTGTTAGCACGAGTGTAACCGACCTGGAGAACTCTGAGCCAATCAAGTTCTTCCTGAGGGTCCTCCTCTCTCTGTCTCTTTTCAGTTGTCTGTCTTAGGTCACTGGGCAGTCTTTGAATCTGAGGTCTCTGACTTCATAGCAACGTTTCCTGGTTACATACCTGGATGTGCTTGAATTGTAGTATTGATGAAGAGTATTGAAAGTACCACGGACTGTCAAAAGGAAAACAAATCTGTCTCGGAAGAAGTATGACTCGGGTGCTCCTTAGAGGCAAGGATGGCAAAACGTCATCTTACATGTCGTCCTGAGAGACCGGTCCCTGGAGGACATCGTGCTTAGTAAAGTAAAGGGTCAGAGACAGTGAAGAGGACTCAAGGAGATGGACTGACACAGTGGCTGCAACAATGGGCTCAGGAATCGGAACAATTGTGAGGATGGTGGCAATGTTTTGTTCTGTTGTGCGTAGGTTCGCTATGGGTCGGAGCCAATTCGTTGGCCCCTAACAACAACATCTAGAATTTACAGAGGAGGAGGGAGGAATTAGACTTTCATTTTGTCCTCTTCTTGAACAGAGTCTAGTGGAGACCTTCTGTAGTTTCTTGTTCAGTCAGCAGTTCAGAGCTGTCATGTCCCTAGGAATTATCCTGCAGAGTTTGGACCCATTCTAGAAGTTCTGAATAAAAAAGGCTTGCACTGGGAGTCTCAAGCAGGAAGTATGTGAGGACCCCTGCCTGCTGCTTCCCTGGGATTCTGAGGGATGGAGATTTATTATACTCCATTGTAAATTGTAAATGTTTTGTGGGCAGAAAGAGCCATATAAACACTAAGAGGGTGCTGCTGGACATCTCTGGTATGAGAGATTGTCTTCTTTTCCTGTATGTTGAGTAAGAAAGGACAGTCTGGATCTTTCCTTTCTGTTCTTTCAGAGTGGTCTGTATATGAGAACTGTTTTCAGAAACAAAACCAACAAACAAAAAAGATTTTTTTTTTACATGGTGATATCTGATTAAGAAGCCCTGGCAGTGCATTGCCTAAGCACTTGGCTGCTGACTGAACGGTTGGTGTTTAAAACCCACCCAGGCCCTCTGTGGCACAAACACTGAGGGGTCTGCCCCATAAAGATGACAGGTCCGAAATACCAAGGGCTCAAGCAGAAAGAAAATGTTTAGAAAATAATGATGGCATCATACGCACAAAGTGATACAATTGATGTAGGATTATGATAAGAGCCCCCAATAAAATGATTTTTAAAATTAAAATACATTTCAAAAAAAGATGACAGCTCTGAAAACCTGAGGAGAGAAGTTTTATTTGGTCAGACATGGTCGCTATGAGTTGAAATCTACTCAGGGGCACCCAACAACCATAATCTCTATTTAAATCATATTCACCAGCGAAATGATTGGTATAGAAGATCCCCCCCCCCCACCATAGACTAAAAGATGCTCATCTGGGCACATTTATTTAGAAGCCGTACCCTGATGTCCTCCGATGTTCATTGCGTCCGTCACTATTATCAAATGTCCATCGGGATTCTGGTTCGGTAGAAGTCTCTTTCTCTTAATAGCCAAGTGTCTCAGTGGAAGAGAGATCTCATCTCTCACTTGTATGACCTCCCAGTTATTAGCATTACTAATACAAGTCTTGACTTTTGCATAATTCTTCCTTTTGCATACATACATAAGACTGGATTCCAAGTTCCCCCTTTAGCAATACTACTCTCTCTGTGTCACTTGCATTTCATTGGGAATAAAGCCGAGTATACCCACGGGAATGAACTGTTGTTGTTATTAGGTGCCATCGACTCAGTTCTGAGTCATAGCGACCCAGTGCACAACAGAAGGAAACACTGCCTGGCCATGCGCCCTCCTCCCAATTGTTCCCGTATTTGAGTCCATGGTTGCAGCCTGTGTGTCCCTCCATACTGCTAACGACCTTCCTCTTCTTTTATATTGTCCTCCTACTTTATCAAGCATGGTGACTGGTCTCAAATAGCAATGTAGTAGGAACAGCACGTCATGTGTTTCGAAGGAAAAAAAGTGTGTATGTGTGTGTGTGTGTGTGTGTGTTGGGTACGGGGGGAGGGGCTGATTGAAAAGCCTAGAGTTAGAGAACAAGCTGTTTGATAAAAACATTTCTGCCTCATTTTGTACACAGGACCTAGCATCCTGCCTCATATAAGGACTCAATAAATGTTTTCTACATGAACTGACAAATGTGACCCAATGGTTACTATAGTTGTTCCAGGTACAACTATTCTGAAGAAGGTGGGGGGAAGTATAGCATTTCAAAAAGAGTGAATCTCCGTGTTGTAACAGGCTCACCATAGGTAGAAATTCAGGTGCACTTTGCTCACTGGCAGTGTGTTAGTCCGGGTAGACTAGAGAAACAAATTCATAGACATGCTCATTTGTCTATAAGAAAGAGGTTTATATATAAGAGCAGTTGAATATTGAGAAAACATCCCAGCCCAGTCCAGACCAAGTCCATAAGTCCGATATTAGCCCACATGTCCGATACCAATCTATAAAGTCCCCTTCAGACTCATGAAACACATGCAATGACATCGAATGCAGGAAGATCACAGGACAGTGGGTGGGAAGTCTTCTGGATCCAGTGGCGTTGTAAGCATCTCAGTACTGGCAGGGGTCTCTACGTGGAGGTCTGGTTGCATCAGGGTAGGTCCATGTGGCTTCTCCAGCTCCCTGGACTTAGCGCCTTGCGTCTTGTCAGGAGAGCAGCTCTCAGGAAGGGAGTAGAAAGAGAGAGGTGTCTCCTGTCTCCAAGGAGGAAAATACAGGAGTTCCCAGAATTCTCAAGAGAAGACCATGCTCACACAGAGACCTCATTGGCTATGTTCTGATTGACAACTAGACTCTATCCCTTCACAATTAATCCTCTCAAATTGAGACCAGATTATGAAACGACCACAGGCAGGTAGCACCTCCATCCAGAACCACTGGTTACAAAGGTCACTTTCATAAGCTACCATTGCAGTGTAACCCTGTATGCTTTTCTGCCAAGAGTTCTGGTAAAATTGTCATCACAAGTCATTACCCTTAAATCTAACATATTCTGAAGGAATACGTGGTTGGTTCTGTCATTTGAGGAGCAAGAAATATTTGTCTAGACATTTCATCCAATCGGTATTTTTATTCAATGGGTAATTGGCGAGAAAATCACAAAGACAAATTTAAATGCTTGCATCTCTAACCTTGTCACAGTGTCTGAGCATCCATTCATCATCATTATCTTGGATTCCTTGCAGCCAGCAGACTTCATAGGGAAGCAAGCACTGAAACAGATTAAAGCCAAGGGGCTGAAACGGAGACTGGTCTGCCTCACCTTGGCAACCGATGATGTCGATCCGGAGGGAAATGAGAGCATCTGGTATAACGGCAAGGTGAGTGCTGACGGCTCCCTGCCAGGGGCCAGAGCATCTTTTCTGTAACAGAAAGTCTCCCATTCCGGTCTGTGTGGAGTTGGTCTGTTATTTACTTACTGGATGCTATGATTATTATTCCTGTGCTGAAAATCAAGAACCAGCTATAAACTGAAAGGAAAATGAAGTGCTACTTATTTTTTGAAAATCGGATACACTTTGGTTAAATTAAAGAAACCCAAGCTCAAAAAACTCGTTGCCGTCAGGTTGACTTTGACTCCTTGCGACTCTACAGGACAGAGTAAAACTGGCCCTGTGGGTTTCCGAGCATATTCCTCTTCATGGGAGTAGAGAGCCTCATCTTTCTCCTGAAAAACAAACCCAGGGACTTAAAATTCCTGGGATAATGAAAGAGGGATGAGTTTAAGGATAAAATGTTTTGTTTGCTCTCTGTGAGTATAAGAGTTGAATTTTTTATGGGGAATTGGCTTTCTGATTTAGATTCTCAGAGATCTTTAAAAAGGAGACGATCCTTTCATTTTAGCATAATAAGGGGGGAAATCCAAATGGAAACATTGATGGCTAGAGAGGGTTACAAGTCTCAGAGTCAACTTATACTGACCCTATAGGACAGGGTAGAACTACCCCTTTGGGTCTGTGAGACTTGTAAATCTTTAAGGTCCCACAAATTGGTTGTTGGGTTCAAACCACTGACTACCAAGGCCTGCGCCAGATCACCACCAGGCCTCCTTACAATAGAGGATAGTCTCAGGAATCAAATGAAACATGGAATTTTTGGTTCTTCAGGAAAAGTAGACAACTTATTTTCATTTGGGAACATTAAACTTCATACTGTTTGTATTCAATGAAATGAAAGTTCATCGAATTACCAATTGAACTTTACACCTTCTACTTGTTATGGCTACTTGTAAAACCTAATTTGCTTGAGCATTTTGATGTGTTCTCGTTGGTATTATCAGGTAGATGTGGGAGACTCTGCTCAGACCATGGGGAAGTGAGAGGGTGGGAGCCCAACCTTGGGATCAAGACTCATCTAAGCCACTTTGTTCTATTGAGTAGGGTCAGCTTGGCTGATCTCTGGAGCCCAAAGAGTCTCTGCCTGTTGTTGTTGTTGTTGTTGTTTTCCTTCAGGCCCTGCATCTTAATTTATTTCTGTTTCCATCTTTCCTGTCCCTTCAATGACAAAAAGAATGGTGGTGGTTTGCTTGTGGGTTGATACTGTATGACTGAGTTGTTCTAGTCTGTCCTTCTATGGAGAAGCCCTAGGGGCGGAATGGATCATGAGTGGCCTGCTGACCAGGCACGCCAAGCGAGAAAGAGTGATCATCTTGGAAATCCACAGGGGCAGTTCTACGCTATCCTGTAGGGTTGTTATGAGTCAGAAATTGACTTGATTTCAGTACATACATTTTTCCAGGGTCAGGTTGTCAGGTCTTTCTTTTGGATAATGCGTATGTAATTGAACTACCAACCTTACTAAAGAAATGGCAATTTGGGCTGAGGGGTGGTAGTTGGAGTTAGACCTATAGATTGAGTTCTTCCTAAGTGCCATATATTTTTAATGTGCTCCTGCATTTAATTTTATAACACACTACCAGACATATATACTCATTTCCATTTTAAAGATAAAATTTTCAGACTCAGAGAGGTTATGTTATATGCCTAAAGTTCAATGATTGATGGAGTTGTTTTCCAACACAGGCACACAAGTTAGACTTTGAATTTTCTTGTTTTTCTGCTAAGCCTAATCAGTACTAGAATCTGCTCTCTCCTCGCCCTCTGCTGACGCTCCACTCTATTATAACTGAATTGTCTACCCATTGATGCTCATGCAAAACAAAGGTGGGAAGGTGCGTGGAAGCATCCCCACAAATATATGCAGGTTTGGCAGAATATATATAAGTTCATGTCTTTCTGAGTAGGGGGTGGGTGTTCTCTGAGATGGTGAAGCCAACACAGCATTCTCAGTTCTCACACTCCTTCACTTCTCTACCACACTTTACCACAGGACAAGCTAACCCCCACTCCCTTCTTAAATGGCATACCTTTAATTGTACTGAAGTCATTCACCATGATTAACTGACAGATTCAATGCAGTGGAAATCTATATTTAAAAATCTGGAAACCCAAGCTCCATTTTTCAAGTTTATGTCTTTTGACACCGGTATACAGTGACTTCACATGCAACCATCTTCCTCTTTCCTATGATATGGCGTAAAGGCTGCTGATCTTAACGACCTTATTAGCAACGTACTTCTGGCATTTGCTAACATGAGCCGTCTGCTTTTGGGTGCTGTACTGGGTCACCATTTTATTGGTGTAATGGTCTTTTTTGATCCCTTTATATTCTGGAATTGTTCAAATATTTTTTTGCTTTTTATTTCCTAATTTGGCCTGACTCGTGATTTATTTGCTTATTCAACACATTTGTTATTGAGGGTCTGCCATGTGCCATGGATGTTCTAGGGACGGTAAATGCAGCTCTGCCAAAAACAGATGAGGATCTCTGCCCTCGTGGAGTTTACCTTCCAAAGGAGGGCAGTAAACATTAAATGAAATATATGCCATGCCAGATGGCGATGAGACTTCTGGAGAAAAAGAAAGCCCACTTGGGGGGGTGGACAGTGCTGGAGGAAAGGGTTATAGTTTTAAATAAGGGTGCACTTTTGGTTTTGCTTTTTAAATCAAGGCATAAGGGTAGACATGACATGGTTTTTTATCACCTGTATTGGGAGGCATAATTGTAAAAAGAAGCTTTGCTGGCAGGACATTTTGAATAAGAGGTTTGTGGGGAAGGGTTAGCAATTTCATAAGGTTTTTCTTTACATTGTTTATCAGCTAGAGCTCATACACATGGCTGAAGAAAAGGAATACATCGTTCACCTGAAGTGAGTTTACCTCCTTCAAAGGCCAGGCACACATATGCGTTAGACTTTGAATCTTGTGTTCCTTCTTCTAAGCCAGGGGTTGGCAAACTGTGGCTGTTTCGGTACATACATGTGGCTCTGAAGTAAAACTGAAAGTGAAAATAAGACTATTTTCAGATAATGGTGATTTCCTTTATTTATGGCTCTCAAATAATTTTAAAATGTTTGTGAGGGACACGACTGACTTTTTCATCTCAAGAGTTTGCCAGCCCCTGAAAATAAGCTATATGATGGGTACTCCTATCTGTTCTCTCCTCTTCCCTTTACCCTCACCTTCTTATCTTCTCTAAGTCACTTAGAGATCTCTTCAGGACTCTTAGTCAAGAAAAAAAGGGAGCCAAATGAATATTGCTTGCGTTGGTCAAAAGAAGACCAGTGTTAGACTGTACCAAGAATATGAAATTCTATTAGATGGAGGGTGGGAGCAAGTTGTTCTTATGATTCACTGTGGAAAAACTTAAGGTAGGATCAATTTAAAATTACTACTAAGAAGAACATATTCCTGGAGACTTTGTAATAAGATCAAAGAAAATGCCAAACTCCTAAAATACCCTGGGCTGCTAAGCTTGGGATTAGAGAGAAATTAAAGGAAAAAGGAAAATAACTTCCATCAGAATTCAAAGCACCTGATAAAGATTTCATTCGTTCATTCATTCACTTATTCATTTATTTTTCTCTAACTCAAATCTCCAAAAACCCAATTCACTGCCATCGAGTCGAACCTCCAAGACAAGGTAGAACTGCCCACATGGGTGTCTGAGACTAACTCTTCATTGGAGTCGAAGGCCTCGTCTTCCCCCTGGTGGTTTTGAACGGCTGAATCTGTGGTGACCAGCCCCACTCAGCACCCCTCTGCCACAGGGCTCTTTACTGGGTCAGTGTAGAAAGGACTGCCCGCTGGGTCCCCTCTGGGAATTAAGGAGCGGGCAGAGGGCTGAAGAACTGGAGCACACAGCTCTACAGAGTAATTGTGGGCTTTTGACCTGGTGAGTCAGGAAACTGGACCAAGAGATTTGCTGAAACCTCTTCCTGTTCCCTTAAGGTATTTGGGCTCATCGGGTTAATTCTGCCAGCCCTCTCAACCCATGTCTCTGCTTCACAGATGCGGACGTGAAACCAAGGTTACCAAGACGTTTGTTCAGAAAGCACTGGTTACAACTCCAAGCTGCCTGACCCAAACTCCTGCCTTAGATCGCTTAGCTGCCATCTCAGAGGAGAACGGCATTGAAAGCGTGTGTGCGCGTGCCCAGCAGTGCTTGGCAGTTAATCTGCCAGAGAGAGCATTTTCACTAATGAATGAGTCCAAGGCTTTTTTCCCCCTTCCTTTAACTAACCAGTTCTTATTATAATAAGTTTAGAAATTATAGTGAGAGCTTCTGATTTGGGGTTTCAGAGGGGACTAAACACTGGAGACCAGAAAGTTAGGACTCATATGCAATGTTGCGTGCTCATAGCGATCTTAGTTTGCTAAGGCCGCCCTAACGGATTACGTAGCAAACAGGTGGCTTTAAGGAACATAAATCTAGCCTTACCCGTTTGGAAGCTACAAGTCCCAATCTGGGCATGGGCTCTAAGCAGGGTCCTTCCTTGTCTGTATCACTGGGCACCCCTTGGTGTTCCATGGCTGGTTTTAAAGAAACACACTGTATACATTTACACGGTCTATTCCAGAAATGAAATTGACAACAACGTCCTGTTAAACTCTCCACATGTATGGTTCTCTTTATCGTGCTTCTAACAGGCAAGATTATATTTTTTAACATGCTTCAGTCTGCATTTGTCTTTTCTACAATGTTTATAAGACACCATTCAGACACTACTTCCACGTGACATCAGCAACACCACAGAGAAAACCTCTATTCCCAACAAGGCCCTATTGACGAGCGCAAGCGTTAAGAGCTCAGCATCACTCTTGTGTGTGTGGATAATCGTTTATTATGAGGTTTGTTATTATGATGTGAGCCAGTTCTGACTCATAGAGACCCTAAGTACAGCTGAACAAAACACTGCCAGTTCTGCTCGTCCTCACAAGTGTTGCTGGATTTGAAGCCGTTGTTGGAGCGCAGTACCCATCCAGTCAGTGAAGGTCGACCTCTTTTTCTTTCTTTAGTCATTTCCTGGGGGCTCGCACAATGCTCATCACCATCCTTCTATCCGTTGTGTCAAGCACATTTGTACATTCATTACCCTCATCATTCTCAAAACATTCGCTCTCCATCTAAGCCCCTGGCATCAGCTCCTCATTTTCCCCGCTCCCTCCCCGCTCCCCCCTCCCTCATGAACCCTTGATAATTTATAAATGATTATTTTGTCATGTCTTACACTGCCCCACATCTCCCTTCACCCACTTTCCGTTGTCCATCCCCCAGGGAGGAGGTTATTTGAAGATCCCTGTAATCGGTTCCCCCTTTCCACCCCACCCTCCCTCCACCATAACCCATAACAGCATCTAAAGGGCTAGAACAGTTAGGATACGCCTATGAACTGAAGTGGGCGCATGGCCAGGGCACCTGAATGATCACCGGATTTGCTCATGACCAAGAACTGTTTTGAGCACCAGCTACAAACAATCCACTGTAATACAGCCCTGAATGAAGAATGAAGGCTGCACTGTGGGACCAGGAGTGGTCATTTTGAGTAGGTCTATGTATCTGGCATAATCAGTTAAGTGCTTGGCCACTAACCCAAATGTTGGCAGTTTGAACCCATTCAGAGGCTCCTGGGAAGAAAGGCCTTCTCCTCAGTCACAACCTCGAAAAGTCTGTGGGGCACAGTTCTACTTTCCTTGTGGGTGGTCGCCAGGAGTCCGTGTGTCTGTCTACACGTTAGGTGTGTTCCCCTGCAGAAAGGAAGCGCTGCATACTGTGCAATGGAGTAGCCGAGTCTGATGAGTGTTGGGTCTTGTCTTTCAGGTGGTTGGCAACACGACGTCTGGAAGCTACAGTTACAGCATCCAGAAGAGTCTGGCTTTCGCATATGTCCCTATAGAGCTAAGTCAAGTGGGACAGCAAGTGGAAGTTGAACTGTTAGGCAAGAAGTACCCAGCTGTGGTCATACAAGAGCCCTTGTTATTGACAGAACCAACCAGAAATCAACTTCAGAAAAAAGGTGGAAAGGGCAAAATCTGAAGAAGACATTCAACACGCGGATGAATTATACTTGCTCTATGCCTGTTATTTGAAATCATTATTGATTGTTCACAGAAGGATAAGAGGAAACCCAGGCCTCATTTCAGCATCATCAAAATTTAGACTTGGAATCTTCATAAAGCGTTTCTCTTACGTGCTTGCTTATAAGCAAGATAGAATATATTACAAGACTGAATCAGTAATTTACATTGTTCTTTCAAATGAAGAAACTTTGAAATGAATGCTTTTACTATCACGTTATTGTTTATGAGACTCAATCAGCAAAATATTTAGACATTTGCTAATGCACAATGATTATTATAACTGAATCAAAGACAAGGCACAATTAGGGGAATATATGCAAATGGTTCTTGGTGGCTAAAAACAAATGATATGTTACATAAAAACATATATAACACCATGGACTTACGTACAAAGATTGGATTTACTTCATGTAGAGATATTTTCTTAGAGGCATAAGTCATCATTTTAATGCTTCATATCTATGATGAAAATAGTACAATTTAATCTTGGTATATAAATCACGTTGATTGAATTCTTTGTAATGTTTATTATCTCCTTATTGATTTGCCTGAAAGCAGGTCTATAGGACATCATTATTGTCCTCTCAAAGGTTGTTTTTCAGAAGAGACACTGCCTAAGAGAACAGTCTTCCAAGGGAGGTGTTACTCGTACACCTTTAGAACAGAAGCAGAAGCACAAATAGATTGTGCCAGTCCAACAGTGTGAATACCAAACATCTCCCCTTGGGGAAGGATTAATGCAGGTTGGCAGCGCAGTGCCTGTTCTGAATATCATTTCACAGAATATTTGACAAAACCAGTCAAACAAACATTTTAAGGCTGATAGGATTTCCCTTCATATTGTATTCAAGGGAGGGAAAAAACATTGAGAATTAATTCTTTGATATATTCTTGGAATTATTTCAGTTTGCTTGACTACATAAGAAGTCGGGCTTTTTTTCCCCTTAAAATGGGTGATCATTTATAATTAATTTAAATTATGTATACATTTGTTAAACATTTATGGAACCTTTCTAGCTATTAAAGAAAGCAAGTGTATGAATTGTGATAAAACAAACAAACTCACAGCTATCAAGTCAATTCCAACTCAAAGAGACCCAATATAGGGCAGGGTACAACTGCCCCAGTGGGTTTCCACAACTGTAACTCTCTACAAGAGTAGAAAGCCTCATCTTTCTCTGGAGGAATAACAGGTGGCTTCAAACTGCTGACCTAGCAGTTAGTAGCTGTGTTAGTCTGGATAAACTAGGCAAACAAATCCACAGAAACTCATATGTATAAGTGAAAGTTTTATATAAAGGGTAAGTGCACATTAAGAAAGCATCCCAACTTAGTGCTGCCCAAGACTCGAGGTCCAACATTAGCCCATATGTCCGACACCAATCCACAAAGTCCTCCTCCATCTCACAAAACACACTCAATGACGCGACTGCAGGAGGAAAGC